CTCTAGATCTCTACAACGCTTAGACTTTAAATCCCGGATCTCTAGACATCTAGAATCTTCAAACTATATCACTGAATTTTAAAACTCTAGACTCTAGGCCTCTAGATCTCTAGAATGCTTAGACTTTAAATCCTGGATCTCTAGACATCTAGAATCTTCAAACTATATCACAGAATTTTAGTACTCTAGGCCTCTAAATGTCTAGAATCTCTATATCTCTAGAATGCTCAGACTTTAAATCCTGGATCTCTAAACATCTAGAATCTCCAGATTCGGATTCTAAATCTCTAGATTTTAGATCTCCGGATGCATAGAATCTCTAAATTTCTAGAACGCTAAGACTTCAAATTCTGAATCTCTAGACATCTAGAATCACCAGAATCTCTATACCTCCGGACTCTCGTTTCTCAATTTTCGGCAACTTCCTCAACCGGAAGCCAGCTGTGCTTTTCCAAATGTGAAACGTCGAAACATCCCCTTTGGAAGGGAAACACAACGATCCCATCGACGGTCACGAATTCCTCCCGATGCGCACGGGACCGTAGCGATCGTTTCAATCGCGACGGCCACGCCGCGTCACAAGATGAAGATAAACTTACAAAGTGAAGACGAACTTACAAAGTGCCTTACCATAACGTAATGCCTCTGCATTTCGGTCTTCTCGCTGGCCAGTTTCTCGCATTCGATCTTCAGTCTGAAAAGTGAAAAGCGATTGAGGACGGAACGAGTCAGACATGCGTTAAAGCGGAAATGGTGTGCACTCGTCCAGGACCCTTTCTCTACGTATGTGTGTGTGTGTGTGTGTGTGTGTGTGTGTGTGTGTGTGTGTGTGTGTGTGTGTGTGTGTGTGTGTGTGTGTGTGCTACGTCTATGTATATATACATACACGCGCGTGCGTGTGTGTACGCGAAGATACGCGCAAGCAGACAGGGCAAGACTTCCTATCCCTTTGGGATTTGCAGCATCTTCAATTCGAGGAGGAGGAGGAGAAGGAGGAGAAAGAGGCGCGGCGTGTGTGTATGTCTCTGGAAAGTAAGATCGAATTCTACGGTGGAAAAAGCCGGAGGAGTAAGAAGAAATGGGATTATGGCGGTGTTAGCGGTTGCGGTGGGCGACCCGGCCACCCGTTGGAAATCTAAAGAAAGGAGAAAAAAAAAAAAAAAAAGAAGAAGAAAAACCGCCGCTATGAATAAAGGAAGAGGAATCTGCCGGCGACATTTTGGCAAATACGACCATCCTACGCGTTATTTGCCGAGGGAAATCGATCGAAACGTATTCGCCACAGCTGAAAGCTGGTTTCGGCAGGTTGTTTTTAGTTATCCGACTCTTTTGTTTTACGAAAGAAACAAGCTTTATACCGTTGCTGTTGTAATTCCGAACGCGTTCGTCGTTGGTCGACGTTGATCAACCCCACTTTTTTACGAAATTCTTGTCAAAAAATATAGTGCAAATGTATTTTAGACACGTAGTATGTACAACTAATAAATTACTTATATTATTGTACAACTTATACAACTTATAAATTACTTATATTAGCGTACAACATTTGTCATTGCACTGTATTAATTTAACTATCGTAATTTTATTAATGTACTGCAACAATCGAGCCCTGACCGACGTGACTGACTTTCAGACTGTCGTTTGAATCACTCAAAACATACGGCTGTTCTTGTCGAAAATTAATATTAACTTCCGTTTGGACAGAAACACACGAGTGTATAAATCGTCTTACTTTAGTTAACGTTTAAATTGCAGTGATTTGTACGTAGAATATTTGGACACAGTTGCTCTAGCGTTGACAACTATTTTCATTCATCCATTCATATTAATATTTTTAGACAAACGAAATCAAATACTGATACACACAAACATATGTGACAGCCGCCGAGAAAAATTCATTCGTACGAACGGTGACTGCAAGACATACGGTGTTGCTTGCAAAACAAGTCGAAACCACGAATGGAATAAAAATTAACGTTGTTGTAAAAATTACACAATATGAGGAATGAACGAGACTTTCCGAGCATAGATTCCGACGAATTGTTTAGCGAACAGAACGTGTCACGTGTCGTCGTGTCGTATCTCCGGGAAAAGGCGAAATTCCTACGAACGAGACGAAATTCCACGAGGTCGTAAAAAATTGCCAAAAGAGAGTGAGAAAGTTCATGAATTATCAAGAGAGATTTCCGTCGTGGCGGAAGGAAGGTGGAAGAGAGAGAGAGAGAGAGAGAGAGAGAGAGAGAGAGAGAGAGAGAGAGAGAGAGAGAGAGAGACACGCGCGAGCTGAGCGACGAGGCTACGCGAAACACATGCTAGTTGTGCGTTAACAACGAAACGCAAATTTAACCGTCCGTCCGACGGGTTTCAACGGTATCGCAAGTGCGGCATGCAAGATAATTAATGATACGTAAACGCAGACATTTGTACACACGGTCCCATTACATCGGGCATCCGCTCGAAAGTGAGCGCTGTTCCAATAACGTTAACGGTTATAGCGCCGCCTGCATCTGGATACTACTTGCCGGAATGTCGATTAATTACCATGTTACCGGCCTCGATAATCAATTACCATAAATCGTCAACATGCGGGACAATGTCGCGGGCAGTGTTCTTTCCGAAACGACGACAAGTTCGCTATCCATTCGGATATAGCTTCGAGTCGGATTTTCAAAATTTTTGCAAGCAAGACAGAGATGCAAGGATCGCCAAGGACACGTCTAGGCCCTTGTCTGCCTTCCATTTTGACGAAAAAAAGTTAAGTTCGAACGGGAGTTGATTTAAGTTAGGTTAACTTAACAGTTACAATTAGCCAACCGAATGCGGAAGAGATCTCCCCGCTTTTAACCCCTAGCGCTGGCAACTGGTTCGCGCGGACCAAATTAACTATTAATTAAATTAAACCTCTAATATTATTATTCGTCAATTAATTAATATTAGTAAAATTAATAATTAATAATAAAATGATCGACTTTTCAAAAAAAAAAAAAAAAAAGAAACTTGCAATTTCAACCACGTTGCGCTGGCAACTGATTGCGGACCATAACGAGTGACCGAACCGTATGCAATAATTCGCCGCTTTCTTTTCCTTTTGAACTTCGTCGATACGATATCACCGGATAGAAATTGTTAAGAAATAATAAACTTATCATTTATAATATTAATATATTATTATTAATAAACTTAATATATTATTAATAATGAACTTATCGTTTCTAAATATTTCCTTTCTGTTAATATTAATAATCGTTACTTCTGTTAATATTATTATTAAACTTCTATTAATATTAAACCTCCAGTATTATTATTCGTCAATTAATTGATATTAGTTGAGTTGATAATTAGTAATAAAATGATTGACTTTACAGAAAGAAACTTGCAATTTCAATTACTTGCGCTGGCAACTGATTGCGGACCATAACGAGTGACCGAACCGTATGCAATAATTCGCCGCTTTCTTTTCCTTTTGAACTTTGTCGATACGATATCACCGGATAGAAATTGTTAAGAAATAATAAACTTATCATTTATAATATTAATATATTATTATTAATAAACTTAATATATTATTAATAATGAACTTATCGTTTCTAAATATTTCCTTTCTGTTAATATTAATAATCGTTACTTCTGTTAATATTATTATTAAACTTCTATTAATATTAAACCTCCAGTATTATTATTCGTCAATTAATTGATATTAGTTGAGTTGATAATTAGTAATAAAATGATTGACTTTATAGAAAGAAACTTGCAATTTCAACTACTTGCGCAGGCAACTGATTGCGGACCATAACGAGTGCGGACCAAACCCGTATACAATATAATTCGTCGCTTTCGTTTTTCTTTTGTACTCGTCGGTATGATGAATAGAAATGATCAAGAAATAATAAACTTATCATTTGTTTTGCCTGGGTTACATTTATAAATATACTTGAAACTGAGAAAAGTGGCACGTCATTCCAGCGCAAGAGGTTAATGTAAATTGCTGTATGACCGGGGAGATCTCTCACGTTTTCTTTTTCTCTCTTTCTTTTGTTTTTAATTAGTCTTGGTCGACTGGAGTGTTATTTGCAATTTATCGGATACTTTTTCTGCTTTCACAAAACACAATGTTTTTATAAAATCTGTGGACAGCGTATGGTTAGGTGGTTGGCAAAATATTACGTTAATTTCGTGCCCGAACGTGTTGAAATGCCAATTGGACTGCGAAACTTTCACGTGATTTTTAGAGAGTAATTAAATAAAAAATACATAGAAACACACGAAGCATAGAGCTTCGTACGTACAAACAATCTTTCATTTACACTTTCAAAATTACGAACTTGCGTAAAAGCTTCGTAACGAAGTAAAATAATCTGTTGTATTTTCAAAAATACGAACGGAGCACAAAAATCCGCAGTCCAAATGTAACGTGAAGCAAGTACGAAAGCCACGAGCGGAGAAGCATGAACATGGTCCGTTTCCAAATCGACAAGACCGCGATTCGGGAATTGCCCGAAATTAAAAAAAGAAAATATATTGTCAATCGTACTGTTGAATGCGAGAGAGGCACGTCGGTGACGTAAAATTCAGTTACATTTAAAGAGAAATATTTCTTATTTGTAATAAAGTTACAAGGCGATCCGATTTTACGTATAAAATATTACTATCATAAAATGTACTAACACTGATATAGAACATTAGCATAGAATACTAATACGCGTCTTGCATCCAACAGTGCAATTTCAACTTTCCTTTCTTGGATAAGGAAGTTGGAAGCGATCGGCGCGCAACAGCGTCAACCAGGACGACGATGATGATGGTGGTGGTGGTGGTAGTGGTGGTGGTGGGTTCTGAAACAACCTCGAAACAGGGAGGGAAGGCGAGGAAAGACGGGCAGAAAACAGCCGAGGCAAGCATCGGCGTCAATAATCGTGGATCTTCGAGAAACGCGAACGCGAGACGGAAGGGATGAATAGACGAGAAAACTGGAAATAAGGGGGTGGGTGTTGGGGTGTGGAGGTGGCGAGGAGAAAGAAAAACAAAGAGCAAACGGGGAAGAGGGAGAGAGCGAGAAGGAAAGAGCCAGGACACGGCGAGTGAAAGAAAAGAGAAAGACTCACGAGTGGTTCTGTTGCTGGATGAAATTGAATTCCTCTTTGATCCTCTCGCAAGTGTCAGCCACCGTGAATTTCAGCCCTCCCGCAGCCCCGCCGCTTCCTCCGCCACCCTGCAACACACAGAAAGAGAGAGAGGAAAAAAAAAGAAGAAGAAGAAGAAGGGAAAAGAAAATGAAAGAGAAAATAAGAGGAGGGAATTCGATTAGCATACACGACAAAGCAGCCGCGACAAAGAACGAAAAATAGATCAGCTAACACCGGGGCGAAGCGTTATGGTTGTACGAACGTATACGTCGTTGAGGGGGCGCTTCGATCTGTACCAAAGGTTTTCCACGCGATTCTTGCTCTTTGGTAATTGATTGACAGAGTAATTTGGCGCAACAATTTCGCTACTCGTGGTCTGCTAATTTGATCGAATGAAAATCCTTACGTTTCTTTTCTGCGTTTCCACGGAAGAAGCTGGTTGGTTCTCAATTGTTAATTTTAATAAACTATTGTTGCAACAATTCATTTCCCTTTGAGTTTCGTTCTGAACAGAATTTGGGAATATGGAATTTGGAGAAATTTTGAGAAATGCTGAAACTCTGAAATAAAATGAACGAAACTTACTGGCGAAGATGTGCAAGGGTGATTGCATACCTAAAGTCACTTTTAAATTGTGCGTCTAACGAACTATAGAATAGTTTTAACGGAGGTAAAATATGGTATATCAATTTTTCGTGGGTTTCGTAATTTCCAGGATCTCTTCATTTTTTTTTTTTTAATCGAACTACATTTTTTTTTATCGTAAACCGATAAGTTAAATTCTAAATAAAAGAGTATCAAGCCACATTGGTTAACCTAATGGTTAAGGAGATATTTTACGATAATTTGTCTCGAGAGTGAAAATTGCGTAGTATCGTCAGAGGATATCAGTGTTATCTTATATGTAGAGTTAATCGCATATATATAATTTAGTCTATTGCTAAAAATTTCGTCTACATATAATTTCGTTCTACAATGAGGTTTATAATAAAATTTCCGTGACATCGAAAGACGAGGTTACCACTGAATCCAGATCACAATTGAACCTTCGACATTTAAAACGTACACAGGTAGCTTCGTATCTCAATGGCGTCGTTAATCATCGCAACGCTCGCAAGTGTCCTACAAAATCTTCTCCGGGATGCAACGTCTACATCCCGTGACATAGAAAAACGCGATCTCGTCGTCTAGAGCGGGAAGAATCGGGCGAGTTAACAAGCAAGATTTCTATCGACTCGTACAATTCGAACAGACGATACGGTAACAGTCTCGCTGCAACGATGGAGCTCTATTTACGAAATAGACGGGGGGGGGGGGGGGTTAAAGAAGAAAAAGGAGAAGAAAAAGAAGAAGAAGAAAACTCGTTAAAGGGTGCAGAGGCAACGAAGAGGAATCTCGTTACGCCGGAAATCGTGTACACACGATAAAAGAGAGGGGCATGAGAAAAAAAAAAAAGAAAAAAAAAGAAAAAAAAAGAAAAGAAAGAAAGAAAAAAAAGGGGAGAGGTCGACATCGCGTCGAACCTTTGGTTAGCGAAGCCGCGGAATAACTCTGGAATAAATCTTAACAAATCCGAATTTAAAGGAAAACCGTGCGGTGTACGTTTGTTCGTTCGTTCGTTCGTTCGTTGCAGGAACGCCTGTAAAATCGTAACGAGGTTAAAGTCGAAGATGACAAGCAACCACCATCAAATGGCCTTCGACCGCATAAGGCGCACGCAAACAGAGAAACCGAGCTGAGAAACGCGAGCAGAGGAGGGCATCCAGGTATAAAAGACGAGCGACTCGGTTGCCTGAGAGGGAGAGGCAAGGCCTGAAGAGCCAAGGATGAAGGGCCATGAAGGCGTCCTTAATGAGACCCATTCCACCAGGTAGCACGAGGTCTATGTCTACGGGTTCTTCAGCCGCGTACACCGACGCCGCGCCTCTGCCGGTTGAAATTACGGAGAAAAGGATCGAGCTTTCCGATGACAGTAATGATTACGTTACACGGTGCACACGCAGACAGATTCTTACGAATCGTAGAAGTACACATATACACGGCTCTGTGCATTGTGCGGACGTCAATCAAATTTCGTAAACGCACGCGCTCGAAACGGCTGCAATTTGGCGATGACGAGAATATTAAGAGAAACTAATCTCGCTGTGTGAAACTCAGTTTTTCGAAGGGGGGCTGGTGAGGTGTGAATGTTTCGGAATGAATAAGCTGAATCTGTCTTATGCGTGTTTTATCAGAGGTTGTTTTAGAATTATTCGCAAAGATAATTGCACTCTAATTGGCATCCTTGATCGTTTGCTCGGTAACTTTTATGCTCGCGTCAAGGTGCTCCCACAACAAAATTTATTCCTTTGACGCGATACTTGTCAATATACACCGGCAGGGTCCGGCAGGGTGCTCTCTTTATTGAAATTCGATGGGAAACGATTTGTTTATTACGGGCACAAAGAGAGAGAGAGAGAAAGAAAGACACAGAAACAGATGGAATTGCATTTTCCAATCAGATTATTAATTCGATACGATTACGGTGGCGTCATTGAGCATCGACGAGGGAAATGAGAAAGGGGAAGAAAGAGCGGAACGAAGACAGAAGAAGAGAAAGAGAAAGAGAGAGAGAGAGAGAGAGAGAGTAGAATTTTGGCACTGAGAATAACAAAATCTCTCGATAGAGAGAGAAATATCCCGACACGGCGCTAAATGGTCAATGACTGTCCGCCGGCTGGAAAATTCCAGTTTTTCAACGCGCTATGCAGTCTCGCGTAGAATGATTTGGCCACTTGTTGAATTCGAAACGGGGAGTGGCTGTCGGTGGTAAAATGGGTTTGGGAACAGGTTGGGGAAGAGAGGACGGTGGTGGGCCTCACTTGTTGCAATCATCAAACGGAACAGTCATCGAACAGGTTGTTGTTCCGATGGTTAACCCGCCCCGCCGTACACATATCCGTCGTGTGATACGGCCAACGACAATTCGTTTTCATGAAAATTCGCCCGCCATCTGACCAACGCGCTCACCGTCCACGATAATTCCCGACGTCGTTATCAAATCCATAGCCACTCGTCTCGCGTCACACTTAACGCTGGAATTGTATTTAGTATCAGCAGCGTGTATTATTCGATTTTTTCCTCGTGAACCTCGAGTTGAGTTACCTGCCTGTATTACACGCGATATTTCGAGAAATTGATTTTCATTTCTAGTTCTTGCGAATCTTCCAAGACGTATTGTAACGATGTACATAGACGTAATTCTTCTGTCTGTCCTGTCTGTTCGAAATAAGTAAGACCGAGACCGCGGAGAGTTACGAGTGAAAAGTTGTAAGACTAGATCGTATTTAGTTTGTTGTCTCGAAGTAAAATTCATTCCTGTTTGTAAAAGGAAAAGCTGAACTGTCAATTTAACGCCGAAAGATCAATTAAGTCGAGAAAATGATGAAAATCATGGAAATTAAAATCTATTACACGTGAAACAACGTGAGATCTTAAATCCCCGTTCACGTTCACGAGTTGGCCTCTCTTCGCTCATTAGCCCGCTCGAAAACGAGAATACGTACAATATTACCAACAACAAAGCAAAAAGGGAATGTAACAATACTTTAAAGCAATCGATATATCGATCGCTACACACTATACCAGATCGTCTCTTTCCAGGTATAGACATTAATTAACGACAACGATCCGGTCCAAGTTTACCGAATTAATTTTCGTCCCTCTCTTTATTTTTCTTCCTTTCTTTTTTTTTTTTTTTTTTTT